TTGCACGTGGCGCAGGCCGCGTCGCAGGGCAGGCAGTCCGTGCCCTGGCGGTACTGGCCCTCCGGGCAGCCCGACTCGCAGGTGCCGACACCGGGGGCCACCTCAACAAGCTCCAGCCCCGGGCCACAGTCCGTGCACTGGTTGACCATGCCACCGGCGCAGGTGACGCAAGACACGTCGCACGGCTGGCACGACTCGCCGTTGCTGAACGACCCGGCCGGGCAGGCACTGACACATGCGCCGGCCGCCGTGAGCAGGAGGCCCGCCTCGCAGGACAGACATGCGGCGCTCGTGCAGGAGGCGCACCCAGGCTCACAGGCGACGCATGTGCCAGTGCCGCCGGGGCCCGGGCCCGCGCCCCAGCGGAAGCCCGCCGCACACACCTGGCACCGGTCCGGCCCGCCGGCGCACAGCTCACAGGACGCATCGCACGCGGCGCACCGGCCGGCGCCGACATACTCGCCCGGGGCGCAGGTGCCGCCGCACAGCGAGGGGGTCGCGCTTTCGGCCGACAGGAAGACCAGCCCCGGCTGGCACACCTCGCAGGATGCGGCATCTTGGCAGGATTGGCAGGAGACGTGGCACGGCCGGCACACGCCGGCCACGGCATGGTAGCCGGCCTCGCAGGTGGCACAGGTGCCATCGGGCTTGGGCACCAGGCAGCCGGCCATGCGCGGGACGCAGAGCAGCTCGCTCGCCGGGCCGCCCTCCTGCAGCGGGACCGGCACATGCGTCGACGGGCAGGCGGGCTCGCAGGCCCCGCCGAGGAGCACCAAGTCCGGGCGAGCGCAGGCCCGGCACTGGCCCGGGTCGCCGGGCGCGTCGCACCCCCGGCAGATGTCGTGGCAGGGGGCGCACCGGTGCGGCGAGGCCGGGACCAGGCCGCCGGCCGGGCACTCTACGCACCGGTACCCGGTCCCGGGGGCGGGGGCCGGCTCGCAGCGGGCGCACGAGGGGTGGCACCGGCAGGCCCCGTCGCCGGCCGGGTCCGGGAAGAGCCCCTCCGGGCAGCTTGCCAGGCAGGCGTCCGGCGCGTCGGGCAGGAATGCCGCGCAGGCGGTGCAGTCCCCCGGGCCGGGGCCGCGGCAGGCCCGGCAGCCGGCGTCGCACCCCCGGCAGTCCGGGGCATAGGTGCCCGCCGGGCAGGCCGGCGCCTGGCGCACCTCCAGCGTCAGGGGCTCGGCCAGCCCCGGCAGCAGGAGCCGCACCCGGGCCAGGGCCCCGGGCGGGGCCGGCACCGGCAGCAGGTCCACCCGGCGCGGGTGCTCGGCCGGCACCGGCAGCGAGAAGAAGCGCGCCGGCAGGAGCCGGCACCACTCGGCCGCCCCCGGGCCCGGCGGGGGCCCGGCCGGCGAGCAGTGCACCACCGCCAGGCCCACGGCCCGGTGGGTGATCAGGGCCAGGGCCGCGGGGAACCGGTCGCCGGCCGGGGCCCCGGGCCCGGGGGCCAGGTCCAGCGCCACCACGCGCTGGGCCCCGGGGTCGGGCACCGCCCCGGCAAGGGCCCCGGCCGGCAGCCGGCCCAGCAGCTCGCGGCTGGCCGAGGCGCCGACCGTGCGCCAGTGCGGCGCGGCCCCGGCCGGCAGGTGGGCCACCTCCCACAGGAAGGCCCCGCCGGTGGGCCGGATGCCGGACACGAAGATCTCCTGGGCCCCGGGCCCGGCCGGGGCCGCCGGGTCCGCCACCGCCACCACCACCGGCTCGGCCCAGGGCGGGAGCTCCTGCGGCGGCCCGGCCACGGCACTGTCAAAGAGCAGGGCCCGGCTGTCGCGGGCCAGGTGCAGGCCCACCGGCAGGAAGGACAGCCGCGGGTCGGGGTCGGTGCTGCTGGCCGGCGAGCCGTCGATGCGTGGTTTGCCGGCCAGCAGCAGCAGCCACGGGTCCGACCGGGGGGTCGGCCGGGCGAGCGCCGGGTGCCGGGCGCTCCCCGGGGCCTGGGGCAGGAGCTCCGCCTGGCCGGCCGGGCCCAGGCGCAGCACATGGGCCCGGTCCTGCCACAGGACCGACACCAGCCCCGGGCCCAGCGGCCGGAGCTCGGTGCACCCGGCGGCCTGGAGCATGGTCTCCGGCGGCAGGCCCAGCGGGCAGGCCCCGGTGCCGGGGCTGGCCGGCCCGGCGCACTCGTACCGCCGCACCCACAGGGCCCCGGCCTCGGTGCAGTAGGCCGCCAGGGGGCCGGCCTCGGCGAAGGCCCGCACCGGGCCCATGGCGAACAGCCCGGCCGGCAGGGGCGCCCACGGGCCGGCCGGCCCGTCCTCGGCCGGCAGCCACACCGGCCGCGCGTCCGCCTCCTCGAGGAAGACCACCATGGCGCTGGCCGGCGCCTCGGCCGGCGAGAGGTACACCTGGCCGTCGTGGACCAGCAGCCGGGTCCGGGCCAGCAGCCGGCCCGGGCCCGGGAAGCCCGGGGCCCCCATCGGCCGGAAGCTCACGTCCAGGTGCAGGGCCGGGTACTCGGGCAGGCAGCGGCTGCCGGCGCCGGCGGCCGTGCCCGGCGGGCACTCCGCCCCGCAGGCGGTCGACCCGTCGGGGAGCTGGCGCAGCGGCGAGCCTGTCGGGCACAGGACGCACCGTCCGCCGACGCATGCCTGGCACGGGGCCGGGCATGCGGCGCACTCGGCTGCGCGGCGTGCGGTTGCCCGTGCGTCGAGGGGGTGTCATGGGGGGGAATGAGGGTGTGATCCGCGGAGGCGGGGGCATTGTTGTTGACAGAAGAAGGAAGAAAGGAGAAGGAAGGAGGAAGGAGGAAGAGGGAAGAGGGAAGGAGGAAGAGGGAAGAGGGAAGAGGGAAGGAGGAAGAGGGAAGGAGGAAGAAGGAAGAAAGGAGAAGGAAGGAGGAAGAAGGAAGAGGGAAGAAGGAAGAGGGAAGAGGGAAGAGGGAAGAGGGAAGAGGGAAGAGGGAAGAGGGAAGAGGGAAGAGGGAAGGAAGGGTGGTGAAGAATGACGATGAAAGATAACAAAAAAGATGAAGAAGAAAGATGAAGAAAAAAGACAACGAAGAAGAATGATGATGAAGGATAACAAAAAAAGATGGCGAAGAAAGGTAGCAAAAAAGATGATGACGAGGAAGGAGGGCGATGCGCCGGCGCACACCGCGCACAAGACCGGAGGTGCCACAAGGAGCGCGACCAGGCCACCAAACCGGAAAGAACAGCGCACGAGCAAGACCAGGAGGCCAGGGCCGAGGGCAGCCCGGCGTTCGCCCAGGACGCAGCAGGACAGGCGGGAGGTTAGCACGGGAGTCGGGGAAACAGGCCGGCAGCAGGGCGCGGACGCACGTAGCGGCCCGTCCGAGGGCAGGGCCTCCATGCCGGCGGCGCACCCGGCGCACAGGTGCCCCGGCCGGAGGAAGGGCGACAGGTCGCGGCCGGCGTCGCAGGCGTACCCGACGCCGCGATCGGCCCCCGGGGCCCCCGGGCACCGGATGGAGGGGTCGCCGGCCGGGCCGTCGCACCGGAAGTCCCGGGCCAGGAAGAAGGCCGGGCCGGCGTCCGGGGCGGCCAGGGCCCAGGCGGCCTGGTCCGGGCCCACCCGCAGGCCCAGCACCCGCATCTGGGCCTGGTGGTCGGACGCCGCGCGGGGCACCCTGACCGGGGTCCAGTGCCGGGCGGCCCGGGTGCCGGGGTCCAGCTCCAGGTGCCAGAGCAGCCCCAGCACCCAGTTGCTGAGGTACAGCCAGTGGACAGCCGGGCCCGGGTGCTCCAGGGCCGGGGGGGCCAGCACCCGGGTCCCGGTGCCGAAGGTCCACCGGGGCAGGTCCAGCACCTCGGCCTCGGTGCACCCGGCCAGGGCGATCCCATGGCACAGGACCAGCTGGTCGGAGGCCAGGACGATGGCCGCGTCGGTGGCCCCCGGCCCGACGCCGGTCAGCGACAGCAGGAAGACATCCTCCACCGCGTGGGGCAGGGCCTCCAGGGCCAGGGGGACCGGCGTGTCCGGGCCCACCTCGGCCGGGGCCACGACGCGCATCAGGCTCGGCCCGGCCCACAGGACGAAGAGCCCGCCGGGGCCGGCCACCGCGCGCGGGGCCGCGCTCCCGGGCAGGCTCGCGTGCAGCGAGTGCACCTGGAACCGGGCCCCGGTCGACCGGGCCACCTGCACCAGCCGCGTGCTCGGGTAGAAGAGCAGCAGGTGCATGTCGTCCGGCGAGCGGGCCGCCTGGGCCAGGAGCACCGGCGCCCCGGCCGGGTGGTCCGGGGCCCGGTGCCACGCCCCGTGGGCCCAGTGCGCCACGCCGCCGGGCCCGGTGGCCAGCAGCCCCGGGCCCGCGGGCGACGACACCGCCAGCAGGCTGACCGGCTTCGAGACGCCCGGGTCCCCGTGGCCGAGGCCCGGCCCGCGCGGCGTGTCGGTGATGAAGCTGCCGATGCGCGGGTCGGCCAGGACCTCGAAGTCCAGGGCCTCCTGCCCGTAGAAGGCGGCCGACTGGCCGGCCGTCAAGACGGCCTGCTGGGCGGTCGGCTCGCCCGACCAGTAGTGCCCGGCCGCCAGCGCCGGGCCGTGCCGGTTGCCGCCCCACACGGACCACGGCAGCACCGTGGCCAGGAGCTGGGTTTCCGGCTGGGTGGGCAGCTGGCGCGGTGTGGCGTCCAGCACGTCGCGCAGCGGGGTGCCGGCCCCTCGGCCCGGGGCCCGGGCCGCCAGCAGCGCCAGCAGCGCCAGCAGCCCCGGCAGCAGCCACGCACCGCGGCCGCGCGGCCAGGGGGGGGCGATCATCCGGGCGCGGCGGGGCACCAGGCGGCCAGACAGGGGAGGGGGAGGAAGGAGGGAGAGGAAGGAGAGGAAGGAGAGGAAGGAGAGGAAGGAGAGGAAGGAGAGCAGGGGGGGGGGGATATGTTGAATGGGGATAATATA